GACAGCTACTGCACTCTAATGGCTGATAGTATACGAGTAGCTTAGCCAATCAGATTGCAGCATTTGCATTAGTATACTAGTAGAATTCTACTAATGCCTGATAGTGTACGAGTAGTTTAGCCAATCAGATTGCAGCATTTGCATTAGTATACTAGTAGAATTCTACTAATTAACAAATAAAGAAGCCTCGACCGTGCTCTGTTCAGTTTCCTAAGTGCTTTGCAACAGAGCAGAGCACAGTCGAGGGTTCTTTATTTGTTTTATGATAAAGAATCCAGTAATTTCCCCTCGCATTCAAACCAAACTTTATTTCCAAACGAGTGAAAGTGGCGTCAGCCGTGCTCTGTTCTCTGATAAAGCACGCTTAAATATGCCAATCACAATCCTTCAAGTTGTTAGAATTGTTCAGATAATTTGATTGGCTAGCGAAGCGACAGCTGTCAATCACAAACTGGACTTGAGCTAAGCTTTGAGTTTCGAGTAGTTTCGAGCGGCTTTGGAGAGGAGAGCGATGCCTTCAAAATTTGCTTTTTAGTTAATTTTTAAATAAGGATCTAAAGGCAGGTAAAGGTTTGTAGTCCGGAGGAATCCGGCCGTATTGTGGCTCATGAAAACGTGCACTTTTCCAATGGAAATTACGAAACAAGGAGCTCAAAGCTTGCGGATGAAAATGCGGAATGCTGAGTTGAATTTGAAAGGAGCTACAGTAATTTACGGCTTGCGGCTACTTGCAGCAAGACTTCCCAAACTAGCGTAAAAGTTAGAAAGACTAAACTGCTCCCCTGGTTCTACTCCGAGCACAGAAGAGAATATTAGAGCAAGCTTTAAACTGACCACTCGTCGGTTCACTTCACTTTGAACTGACCACTGGTCGGTTCACTTCGCTGAGATGACCGGGGAACTACAGGTCACCCAAGCGTAATATAAGAGTTTGTAGGGAGAACTGCGGCTGAAATATACGGGTTTGTATGGAGATTTGTCCTACGGTGTCATAAGTCTCCGTAGGACAAATTTTTCAAAATTCGCTCAAATCTCGTTTAAACTCTCCAGGATGAGATAAAATGACACCATTGAATGTTCAAGAGTCTTTATTCGGTAAAAATTACCCATACATTGAACGAATTTAATGTCAACTCCTGATCTCCGTACAAACTCGTACATTTTAGCCGCAGTTCTTCATACAAACTCTTATATTACGCTTGGGTGACGTGTGGGAGAACGAGCGTTACCACACTGCATGTAAGTGTTGTTTGAGCAATTGGGCATTTTTGCAAAAATAAAGCTTCTCATCATAAACAGAGATAGCTCAATTGTTGTTTCCTGTTGTCGCTTTATTTAAGTATAATTTCTGCCTTCGTAACAAATATAATGTCTTTTATCGAAACACTGGTTAGGTTTAGAATTTGTTTATTTCGCTACGTGTTTTGTCGGCGGGAATCTAGCAAACTTAATATTTTAGTACAGTTTTAAACTACTGTTGCTAACAATGGTCTTCGTGATCCATATTTACTGCAGACGAATAGCTCGTTTCCATTGCGTTTGTCTGAGTCACAGGGGATGTTTAATTTGGGTCAAATTTGTCAAAATTCCGAAGCAAAATTTGAAATCCAGCTTACCGTCAACAACCCGTGCTCTGTTCTCTGATAAAGCACGCTGTTTCAGCCAATCAGAGCTCGCGTTATATGGGAACTTTATTATAGTGACAATTAGTACCCATTCAGCTGTGTTCTGTTGGAAATCCGCGAATCTGATTGGGTTTTTCATCGTTTTCTTTTCACTGATAGACAGCAATCGGGTTGGCGCTGCGCTTGAAACTAAAAGATTTTCATAATTAAAAATACACAAATTGTGGGGTTTCTGCTGTAGTCCTTTAGAGTGTCTACTAAAACAATGAGACAACTCGCCCTCGTTTTCGCTAATAGAAAACTCGGGCTCGTAGTGTTATTGCTCATATACCATGATGGCTAAGCCAATGAAAACTCTTGACCTGCATCATCCAATGATCCAGTTTTCAATAAGAGATGATCGATAGCCAACTCGGCACTACGCGCCTTGTTCGCAATCTGTCATCTCATATCCAACTCGTGCTCGAGGAATAATTGTTAAATATACCCCAAGTAATGTTCTGGCCCCAGCTTTTCAAATTTCCTACTAAACTATTGAATTGTTTAATACTAAATAATTTGCAGACTAGCAATATTTTGAATCGTCGAGGGAATGATTTTAACTTCTAACACCTCGAAAAAGATGTCTCTTAAAAGAGCCAGGAAACGTAAGACTATTAGAGGAAAAATAAACACTATAACCTCCATCTGCCATCAAAAAAGTACAGGTATTTAACAATTATACCATGCCCTAAAAATATGGTGAGCGTGCGCGTAATTTTTTTGGGCGTTTTTATTTTTATTTTAGTTTTCTATGTTTTGGGGGCGTTTTTAATAAAACGATTATTCCATTCGCGCTTGCTGGATATTTACGGACGCGATGAAAAATATTCGACGGATTATTATGTGCAATATGAAAAGAGTCTAGTATGTTTAAAAACACTACGTGATGTTCAACGTACATTGCTTTTCGACTGTCTGTCTCGTGTTCTTTGAATTAAAATACTCAGAATACTCGGAGCGTAAAAAGTCTTCTTTTTTTTTCCCTCAAAATAGGGGATGAGTCTGGAAGAGGAAGAATTTTAACAGATGATGGTCGGGAAACGCTGTCAATGGCTCAGTCAGTATTGACGGCTCTTGTTGCAAGCATATCAAATGCATCAGTGACCGTTGAAATCTTAGTTCTTTTACAGAAATACAGAGATAAATTCTTGGAACTATTATTGAAGACAACTTGCCCTTCTGCCAAAGATGGAACTGAGGCGAACACGAGACAAGAAGGTGAAAAAATCCTAGATGAGCGAATTGGAGAAATTGAGGAATTCCAAGCTGTAAAAGAAAAAGTGTTTTCCTTCGTGAACATGTGTGATTTGATTGGGCCAGGTGAGATTTCACTTAGTAACAAGAAAGTCTTAACAATCTGCACAAGTTCGTTAATGTCCTAATCATGTTTTGTTCCAAATCGACGGAATAATTGAGTACATCTTTCAGCTTATGAGAAGAAGCGTGTGAAGTTGGCGTGTATTTTGTCGGGAGAAGAATTTTGAAACGTCTTACCTGTAACCTAACGTTTGAACTCAAGTTGACTGATATTATGTTGTTTATACTTGAAGTTGCAGATCCAGAAGATTTTGCTACTTTAAATACCGCTTAAAATCATTGTTTGAATTTTCTACAGTCAATATTGCCAGTGTTAAGGAAAAATCGCATCAAGATGTCTCCCGTTACCAAATACGTGAGTTGTGCGAGCGTAAAGATGACAAGCAAATTGAGGTCACGTTTTTTAAACTACCCTCGGTGGCTAAAGAAGTTATTTCGCCACTTCATCACGTGCAAAAAAGTTCCACTTTCCAAGAGCTTTGGAAACAGTATGGAAAGAAAGCGCAAGCAGCCAGAAAGAATGACGAGGCAAAGAAACCATACCTTAGCGTCTCCGAAGTCGTTGAAAATATCTGGAAACGAGCTTTCCAAGATTGGAACCTGCATGCGGCTAATGCCATGGACGGAAGTTTAACCCTCGAAAATGTCGACAAGCTCTTTGGTACTTACAACAATCGGAAAAAAGAGCTTGGACAAGAACTGTTGTGCATGTTTGAACTGAGCCAAGCTCAACCAGTGAGTAGAACAAAGAAGCTGCAGACAACAGCGACTGAATGCGCCAATCAAATACAGCGATACCAGCAACTTGGTCAGTATGCAAGTGCCGCAGACACAATCTGGGAATTTAAGGAGGCAATGGGCTTCACAGGTGACTTCAAAGTTATCGAGGATCTGCGTAATCAGGTTTCTAAATTTATGTTTTCCTTTTTCATTCACTCTCTGCTTTTTATTACACTCAAGATACGAGAGCGGGTTTCTTTTCCTGGTGTTGCGACGTTTTATTGTGAATATGTTCCTCGTCTTTAGTTTGAAATATTATCCCAAAAAATGTTCTTGTTTGTAGTCGTTTTTGTTTTTGGGATTTTATTCGTTTCTTTGATTTTGTATGTCGGATACATGCATTTGTGCACGAATATTCCTGTTTTCCTTTGAATTTTACGATTTAGTTGTCAAAAGAGTTCAAACAAAAGCCCCTAAACAGCATTGGAAAAAAGTTTTCTGAGGCTGGTCGTGCACTTGAGTGTTTGGATATGAAGAAAGCAAAGTGCTTCAGGGCAGTGGTAGAGAGCAGAGGACTGGTGGAGTGGCTACGTGCTACCATCAAATGTAAGCACGCTATATGTTAACGTCGCCAGTTGGCTGCCTGAATTAATGTGCCAGTGAACTCATAGGCCGCTTTAAGTTGTTAATCATTCAGATGTAACTTCTAAAATGAATGGGATCTCTTCATGACATTTAGAAATTTGAATGGGACGTTTTATGTACTGGTTTCTCAGTAAATAGTACAAGTTTTGTAGCAGTGTGATTTCTTTAAAAACTAACACCTTAACATTTTGAATGGTTTCACAGCAACTCAAGAGCTTAAGGTTCTTGTTGACTTGGCCTTGATCTCAGCGGGTGAAAGCGACATGGAAACTGACCGCATTTCCAGTCTACATACCAGCTGCCTAGGTTTCGCTCCTTTGATCTTTGACCTNATCAACTCCAGTGGTGTGTACGTTGTAGGTCACGTGGACACCAAGAGTTGTTCGCAAACAGAGGAAAGAAGACGGTTGTCATTTAATGATGTGATCCGACTCACAGTTCCTACGAAAGATGGAAGTGAAAAAGTGCAGAGCAAAACGTACACTGTTGATGAATTGAAAGATTTGCAAAGTAAATTGATGCTGATTGCTGGGAAGGCTGAAAAGGGAAAGGATGAGGTTGAACAATTTGTAAAGGCAAGTTTAAACTTATTAAGTAAGCGCGATCGCAAATACTGGAGAGAATCTTTAAGTTTAAGGTGGGAAACATTTATTACAATCATTGCACATTGTGTCGAATAAACGCAATCGTATCGGCCTGGCATAGACAAAAAAATAGATTTGAAACGTCGTTTTTTGTAGCCTGTGTGAAATTTTAGGTGGAAATTGATGTGAAGCCCCGTGGTAAGCTATGATGTCGCTCTTACAATAGTTCTAAATTCTTAACTTACAGAACCTTGAGGGCGTCATGCGTTTAGCCACGGCTTACGTTAACCTCTCCGAATCTGGTTTTGTTCATCGGTTGCATTGGAATAAACAATTTCACTGTAGTAAAGATCAGCTCGAAGGCGAATCCATAGCAAATGAGCTGGCAGCTGAAAGTAATTCCATGGAGAAATGTTACTTAAACTGGAAGAAGACGGTCAGTGATGCACGGAAGGAGTATCGGGAGTTGAATTTCTTCACCACTCAGCAGTTGATGCTACTAAGGAAGGAAATAGCCACAGTTTGCCACAGCGAAGACCTTCTTGTAAGCAACCTTCAGGTTCTTACTTTGCTTGAAAGTGTTCGTCC